ACGAATTTGTAAGTCATTAGTCATTTTACATCATTCACGTGACTAAGCAAGTAATTTTCGAAATTAATTCAGACAAACCGCAAAGTACATTAAATTTTCCTTGTGATTGAAACCTACTTACAAGTTTAATGAAAACGTGCCTATAGTTAATTGGAGGAAGACCAAAATTTATTTTGACTGCCGTCTGAAGCATCTGGGAGATGAAAGGTGTACCCGTTGTTAGAAATAGGCCGGATAGTGCTACCTTCCCTTATAGACTATCTATACATTCTACCATCAGTAAAGATGTCTAGTCTGGATTTCTTTGGAATCGCATACAAATTACCCTAATAATTGAAGCTGTTGTAGGGCAAAGAGAGTATTTCTGCCGTGAAGCAGTAATGCGTTTCGGTTTGAAGGGTGGGGCAGCCGTTGTAACTATACTTGAGACCTTAGAACTTGTATCTCAAAGTGGGTGGCGCATTTACGTTGTGGATGTCTATGGGCTCCAGTAACCACTTAACACCAGGTGGGCTGTGAGCTCGTCCACCCATCTAAGCAATTAAAAAAAAAATTAATATTTCCACCAGCTATTTTTTTGCATAATTTCTGAACGCTTCCGTATTCGGTCATTATTTGTTAGTCTGGCAACATTGATGAATGTTATGAAATAAATTAATTTTTTTTCCATAAGCTATTCAAAATGGTGTCCTAAACGTTTTTTGGATAAATATTTCCCAGATCGTTATATCATATAAAAAGTTAATATTAACCCTAAATACAACATCAGGATTTACACCTGTGTTTTATGATTTACCTACATCTGATTTAAGTATTTATATCTACATGTACGAGGGGTGTTCGATAATTAATGATAATGCGATATATTTTCCATCGAAAGAAAAAAAAACTGAAAAAAGAACCGTTTACTTACATTACTTATAGAGAAACTCATAGATACTGACAGGCATATGATATAATAATAGTGAAAAACAATCACATCTTTTTGTTTTTTTTTTATATATATATATAGATCATTTATATGCGTTGTCAGAACGTGTTCTTAAAAATGGATAAAATTAAAATTCACGTGGCCACAAACATCTCTACTTGAATAATTTTACTACGGAGCTAATAAATCAAGACTTTACAAAAACATTAAGTGTTCATGCTCCTCCATATTTTATGGTTGCGCGTTGGTGTGCTGGGTTTATACGAGTAAGAACTTCCATTAACGACGACCTCCGCACAAGACGCCCTACATTAGTACTAACTCAAGAAATGATTAGAAAAGTTGAAAATATTGTCTTGGCGGATTGTCGTTATACTGTTTGTTTTATAGCTGACAAAATGAGAATTTCTATAGGAATTGTCCGTTTTCCACACACAACAGTTTGGGTTTGTTGTGTATAAATAAGTGTTAGCGCACTGGGTATCCAGAATGCTTTCTGACGCGCAGAAATAAACGAGAATGAGAATTTCAAAAAGCTTAGGTTTGTTACAACAAAATCTAGACCGATTTTTGGCTCTATTCATTACTATACATGACATATTATGACACGAAAACAAAAAAAAAACAGTTCTTGGAAGATACCGTCGTCTCCAAATCCGAAGAAATTTAAGGCGATTCCGTCCGCGGGTGATTAAGATCATGGGCTATTTTTTCTGGAACAGCCAACAGGTGGTAACGATCAAATATCTTAATCTTGGAGCCACTATTACATAGAGACCATGCAGTGTGTGCTTAGTGCGAGTTTTTTAACATTCTCGTTAGCGTAAAAGTTCGCTCATATTTGTATGGAATGGGATCGTTTGCCTACGTTTGCCGTTAGGGGCGCTGTTCCAACTGCATACAAAATTGGGTTAACTTTTACGCTATCGAGAACGTTAAAAAACTCGCTCTAAACACACAGGACAAATTACAAAGTTGCGAGAGGAAATACGCAAGAAACGGCGGGGCAAACTCCAGAAACGCCCCCGCACACAAGTCCAGATTTGCGATGGCTACCATCCAAGAAGCTACCTTCGAATTGATGGAACATCCTCCGTATACACCGAACCTAGCTTCTAGAGATTTCTACCTATTTTCGCCGTTAAAGAAACATCTCAGGGGCCATAAATTTGAAGATGGTGCAGTAGTCCACAGCGCGGCGGTACGCGATTTTTTATGGGATCAGGAAGAAGATTTTTTTAAAAAGGGAATTTTAGCTCTAGGAAAAAGATAAAGTGAATAAACCTGAAAGGTCAAAAAATAAAATAACATTTAATAAAACATAATTGCGTCATACTTATTACCATTTTTTATTGAAAAACCCTAGTATATGCAGATATTTTATGTGTGTGTGTAACGAAAAACAAATAATGTGATTACATCGTAACACATTTATTATTATCTGATAAACAGCCACGCTTAATGGGTGTCCTCATCACAAAACTCGTTAAACCTCAATTATTTTTATCAATCGTCCAAGCCCATGGACTTTATCGCATAACCGACACGATAGCATACAAAAGAGTCCGTGGCCTATTAGGTAAAGCGTCCGGTGTGGTTACCTATAGTAGTTACGCAACTATCTTGTCATCGAAATACTGTGGCAAATACCAAATCTTTGAATTAAAATACATTGATAATTGACTGGTCTCCACGAGTTACAGCTACGATCCAACTTGTGTAGGTATAGGTTATTCAATATTCAGTATTGTGAGCCCGTGCAAATGATCACAATGCGTTTCCATTCTTTCGAGAATTTCCAATCTTTCACCAAACGAGGTTTGCAGAGAACCTCAGTGGTAGGCAGCAGGTATTATCTGTTCGTCAGCCTAAATGGACGACAAAAAAGGCGCGTTCGATTTACTTTGGCTTCCGATCCCAAGGTAATCATTATTGATAACCGTTATGGCGATGTGATTGAGTTTAGATTAGACTAGCCGTACTCGCCCGCTTTGCTGGGTATTTAAAATTAGCATTATTATTTATTGTCATTGTTATTAGGGAGTCCAACACTCATATACCTAAATATTAGCCTATCCATTAAGTACATGTATTTTCTACATGGTTACCAAGTTTCAAGTCAATCGGATGCATGGTTCAGTAGTTATAACATCCTTAAAAACCACTGTAGATTTATATAGTATAGATTTAGATTCAGATCACATTTCGGGTGATTGTATTCACATTGTGATGACCATGAGCTCCGACAGCTACTCGTGACCTTTTTCGTCTTTGTTTATTAATTTCTTACTAATAAAACCACGATCGTCATATACCATAAACAATATAAATGTTATACACAGATAAGAGGCTGCTGTAGGCCTAACAAACCCCTTTTTAACAAGGAAATTATCATAGCGTTGCCGAGTAAAGGCGGAGGAATATAGTAACGGTTCCTTAGCTGGGCATTGTGAATGGGATGTAAATTGCTCGGACGATTGGTGCGTTCATAAAACGAAAATGATGATGAAGATGAGATCATCCCTAACAATGCAAACTACCAAGAGAAATATTGACGCTCAGAAATTTTTGAAAAATCAGACTCCATGAACCATAAACGAAGAATTCAAATTGAAACTAGTAATTTCAACTATTAGCGTTGTTGAAACTATAATTGATGAATTTTAAAACATCTTATCTCTATCCCGTTTAGAATATAGCTTACAAGAAAAATCCCTAAATAATCAAACGAATTCTGGATTCTTCTATGATTATGAATTTTTTTCTTTATATTTTCATTAACAAATTTTCATTCTAAATATCCAAAAAAAGAAGCAATAAATAGTAAACAGTATACAACAAACATTCCATTTCGTACTTTGTTACCAACTTCCTACTTTGTTACTAAGGCAACAAAAGTTTTTTTTCCATACAAAATTCTTCATAGTTTGTTCAAAATACAGAGTTCAGTATGACTCTTTTCTAATCAGAATCTAAAGCAAAGGTAGGCGATAATAAAACGTATCTTAAAATACTTTCACATTTTTCTTTACATTAAATAATTACTTTTTGCAACCTTTTCGGCATTAACTCTCCGAAAACATTACCACAACAAAATAGATAGACACACAATTAAATCTGAAATGAACATTTATTATTAAATTAATACTAAGTCTCAAGTAAATGTAAGTAAGTAAGTAAGTCTCCCATTAATTGGGTTCTGGTAATAGCATTCATTCTGGCGCATATTAATTGATTTTGCCCTTAAGATCCAATATTTTGATCTGAGATAACATAGCATTAACTGAACCCCTCCATGTAGTCAAATCAAATCAAATCAAATGAATTGTAATTTTTCCGGTTAACCGAGTCACAGACATAATTAAAACTACTTTTAGTTTAATATTTATGGTAATTTTATTATTTACCACGTTTCGAATACTGTACAGTTTTCGTGGTCACGAATGACTAAAGTATAATGACCATTAATAGCGCTAGATTAAGCCGTAAAAGTAATTTTAATTATTAAATCACTATTATACCATTGTGTATTGAAGCGAACATCTAATCGTGGGCCGCGAGTAGGTATTACTCGTAGACATTAAAAATGCGTCACAATGCTGCCTATGCACCTGTATTAAGGTGTTTCTTCAAACTCTCTCCCACCTTGAGATATAAGTTCTAAGGTCTCAGTATAGTTACAACGGTTGCCCCACCCTTCAAACCGAAACGCATTACTGCTTCACGGCAGAAATAGGTAGGGCGGTGATACCTAGGTACCGGTGCGGACTTACAAGAGGTCCTACTACCAGTAAATCCAAACATTTTTGCGAAATCCGACACAATGCTTGAATATACTGAGACCTTAGAACTTATGTCTCAAGGTGGGTGGCGCATTTACGTTGTAGATGTCTATGGGCTCCAGTAACCACTTAGCACCAGGTGGGCTGTGAGCTCGTCCACTCATCTAAGCAAAAAAAAAAGAAAAAAAATATATTATTCACATTTAAAATAATTATAGGTGCCCCACTATTATTTTTTGTTACTGATTTTACGTCTACGTATTTTGATCGAGAACTTGAACACTTACTTCTTGAATAAATAATTCTTCTGTAGACGAACTCGGGTCAACTCCATAGCTGTCGTTACACGGTCTTCTGTAAAAGTAGTAAAAATGCTCCGATGCTGTCACATTCGTCGGCACTCTTCCTTTATAAACTGTCGGACTGAAAGGGTTCACGGTATCAGAGTCGGTATTCTCACAAGACCGATTTAGGAAAGCTTGTGTACGTCCGCAGCATTTGTTAATGCAGACATGATCTATACAAGGACATCCGTATGTGACCGTCGCGCCGTTTTCAAGCTCCCCCTTATACCATCGGCCTGGACCATACTCCACATTGTCGTGTGTGATAGAGCCATTCGCGTGAACCACACCCGTTGTTATATCCACACTCTCGAATTCAGTACACGGGTTACAATAACACCACACAAGCAACGAGACTAACACTAGGTACAGAAGTAGGTATTTCATTTTATTGTAACGTCGATTGTGCACAAGACACTACTGATGTAAGTGTACCATGTTTTGCGGACAAAACTATTTTTCGCGATTTTGATTATGAGTAACAATAAAAATTCGTGTGAAATGAGTTTAAAACAAGATTATCACTGTTCGAGTATCCGTTATCTTGCCTGTAGTGAGGTAATTTGATGTATCATTTTTACCGCGATAAGAGTAAGGCGACCGCGTCGGTCTGTTAATAATTTTGTAAAGAAGACGTGCTATTTGCGCGAAGTCTGATTCCCGACTACGGACCGACTAACCAAAGCCGAGAGAAGCCCGCAATCCAACTCTAGGTTTGACGTGCGTCTCCTGGAATCGGCTGAAAAAATCACAGGACGAATGAACAAATTACGTTATTTCATTTACAATTACATTAGAACAAGACATTGCTATAATTAATTGAATTATGTTTTAGTATACAAGCATGCTTAAACAACCAGATCTTTTATATTTTTTTTGGTAATAATGGACGAAATCACGACCTATCTGATGTCTATTGAAGCCCATAGAAACGAAAATTCCGCCGCCGATCTTGTGCCATGAGGCCTAAGTCTCAATTGTAATGTACTCTGTACGGCAATGGCATAGCGGGAGGGGGGCTGGGGGTCAAGGAGGGACATCAGGCCCCGGATGCTACACACAAAGGAGCGTCAAATGATCCACAAAACAAAAAATTGCTGGATATTTTTTCTTTTTATTATAATTAATTTCTGTTAGCTCTTATATTGGTTCATACCTTTTTGCCAATGCCGAATATATCCAAGAATGTCAGACCATATCAAGTTGATCATAAAATTATAAGTAAAATCCAAAACTTACTCGTAAAGTGATTATAATATTCTTGTTTTACTTTTTTATTGTGTTGATCGATGAACAAGCTCACGGGCTACTTGTTGTGGAGTGGTTATCGGAGTCAATGTCGCCATCCACTTTGGGACGTATCATATGTGTATTGAATTGAACAGCAGTCCTGTGTGCTTAGTGCGAGTTTTTTAGCGTTCTCAATAGCGTAAAAGTTAGCCCAATTTTGTATGCAGTTGGAACAGCGTCCTTAGCGGGCAAACGTAGGCGAACGATCCCATTCTATACAAATATAAGCCAACTTTTACGCTATCGAGAGCGTTAAAAAACTCGCACTAAGCACACTGACCGTTAACTGACTAACTGAAGCGCATGACTTCTTCATTAGAGAAATAGACAGGTTGGTAATGCCAACCTGTGCGGCCCTACTATACCACCAGTAAGTCTGGTTAGTGATCACATTGCGCTGGTATAACACTCAGTGAGATAGCCCTGCTGCCTATTCTTCGGTAAATCTCTTAGTAGACTGTACAATAGCTAAAAAACAAAATCCGGTGATACTTGTCTGCGCCTAATCAGTTATAGCCACAAATGTATGGTGGTGACGAAAAGGTGATTTTCAGAAATTGCTTTAATTTAAGATAAGGCGTTTACTAGTTCGTGCTGTATTACACAGGACTCTCCAATTGCGCCCAACTGAGCACCATACTCGGCTTCTCTCTTCAATCCATATTCAAGAAATTTCGACTATTTGAAAGAACATGTACATACATACCTTAGACGTAGACAAAACAAATCAGTTAAAAAACCGACACGATAAAATCATGTGCTAGTAGTAGTGAACACAAAATGTGTGAACCGAATTCAAAATTCACGCCCTTCATCTATACTAATACCTAGTCAGGTCATAAGTATTGTCACACAGTAAAAACTTTTCTTTTAGAATGCTGGCCACAAACAAGTTTATTGAATTCGAATTTCGAATTGTTCATGAAAATAAAAATGTATACTTTTAGAATTTTACTCATTTTTAAATACGGAGTGGACGCTTAAAGAAGACCGTGTTGCAGTTATTGCGTTGCATCGTTGCGGTTACGCGTCAATTCAAATTTTTAACATACTGAAAAATTTGAATATAACCAAAAGATTCGTTTATCGTACCATCAAACGATACAATGAAGTCTCTAGTGTAGATGACAGGTCAAGAAGTGGTCGCCCTCAGTCTGTTAGGACTCCAGCAGTGATAAAAGCTGTGAAGGCGCGAATTCAAAGAAATCCCAAACGTAAGCAGAAACTGTTGGCCCTTCAGATGGGGTTAAGCAGAACCACGGTGAAAATGGTGTTAAATGAAGACTTAGGGCTTCGGGCATATCGAAGAAAAACAGGACATCGTTTGAATGCTCGTCTAATGGACCTGAGACTGAAGNAAAAACAGGACATCGTTTGAATGCTCGTCTAATGGACCTGAGACTGAAGAGATGCCGCGCTTTGTTGAAGCGGTACGCGGGAAAAAAATATCGGGAAATTCTTTTTTCGGATGAAAAAAATTTTACCGTAGAAGAGAGCTACAACAAACAAAATGATAAGGTGTACGCACACAGTAGTGAAGAAGCGAGCAACCGTATTCCAACGAGGTCATTTTCCATCCTCGCTCATTGTATGGTTGGGAGTTTCTTATTGGGGCTTAACAGAGGTACATTTTTGTGAGAAAGGTGTAAAAACGAATGCAGTTGTGTATCAAAATACAGTCCTGACGAACCTTGTGAAACCTGTTTCTCATACCATGTTCAATAACAGGCACTGGGTATTCCAATAAGATTCGGCGCCAGCTCATAGAGCGAAGAGCACACAAGACTGGCTGGCGGCGCGTGAAATCGACTTCATCCGGCACAAAGACTGGCCCTCCTCCAGATTTGAATCCGTTAGATTACAATATATGTCAACACTTGGAGGAAAAGGCGTGCTCAAAGCCTCATCCCAATTTGGAGTCACTAAAGACATCCTTGATTAAGGCAGCCGCCGTTTTTTACATGGACCTCGTTCGTGCTGCGATAGACGACTGGCCGCGCAGATTGAAAGCCTGTATTCAAAATCACGGAGGTCATTTTGAATAAACTTTAGTGTCATAAGAATCTATGTTTTGTTAAGTTCATTTTGGTATATGCATGGTTACATAATGAATAAACTTGTTTCAATTATTTTACATTAAACATGTGACAGAATTTATGACTAGGTATATATAAATGTACAGTGGTTTTTACGGATGTTCCGTAATAACTACTGAACAATGCATCCGATTGACTTGAAACTTGGTATCCATGTAGGTACATAATGGATAGAATGGACTCCCTAATAATAATAACAATAAATAATAATGTTAATTTTAAATGCGCAGCGAAGCGGGCGACTACGGCTAGTAAGGTAATAAAATTACTATGTTGTATGTATTATTTTCAAAAAGCTAAATTACTTGGATCAGTATCGAATACGTCAATGAACATTAATTTCTGCTGTAAATAACAGACGGAATACACCTAGAAAAAATTAACAGCATAATTTAAAGTAAATGGATATTTTCGATGGAACGGGTCGGTGAACCTGAAGGCAAGGGAATCATATCTTTATTCTTAAAGTTACAAGAAATTGCGCTAGCTATATAAGCTTCCGGCGGTATGGATGTAATATGCTCTGCGTCAACCCTGCCATCTCAATGGTCCGGACTGGCTCTGGCCTGGTCCAGGGTCGGGAGTTGGCTGTAAGCGGCAGGAGTTTTTGGTGAGGTTCAACTCCCACCGGGCGCGGTTGGGGATCCGGTGATTTTCTCCTGTACAAAAAAAGTTTAAGTAAGACAATATCATGCAGGATCTTAAGAGACCATACCTAAAGCCGTATCAAAAATTAATTACCTAGGCTAAACTAAACGTAGAATGGTAGTGAAAACCCACTGAGTTTCTCTGCCGGATGCTCTCAGTGAGTCCCGATTCTAGAGGCTAGTGTTAGCAAGTTGAGCCCCGTAAGCTCACCTACCAAACCGTGCTTAGGAGAGGGTAAACTTCAATAAGAAAAAAGCAAATAGAAATTTTAATTATCATTTTATCGATGTAATACCCAAATATATATATATTTTTTTTTTTTTTATTGCTTAGATGGGTGGACGAGCTCTCAGCCCACCTGGTGTTAAGTGGTTACTAGAGACCATAGACATCCACAACGTAAATGCGCCACCCACCTTGAGATACAAGTTCTAAGGTCTCAAGTATAGTTACGACGGCTGCACCGCCCTTCAAACCGAAACGCATTACTGCTTCACGGCAGAAATAGGCAGGGTGGTGGTACCCACCCGCGCGGACTCACAAGAGGTCCTACCACCAGTAATTACGCAAATTATAATTTTGCGGGTTTCATTTTTATTACACGATGTTATTCCTTCACCGTGGAAGTCAATCGTGAACATTTGTTGAGTACGTATTTCATTTGAAAAATTGGTACCCGCCTGCGGGATTCGAACACCGGTGCATCGCTCAACACGAATGCACCGGACGTCTTATCCGTTAGGCCACGAC